CCATTCGCAGCGCATAGTCGAAGCGTCGTAGCTCGTGGCTTGCTGCTACCGATAAGAAAGACTGATACTTGGGCTACCGTATCTACGAGGAACCTAGAGTTCGTGTGATGGTCACGTACGAAAAACAGACGGCCAACCTAAGGATGTGGGCCGGCGAGTACGGCCGCTTTTACTCGCCGGCTTANCTGCTCGTTCAAACCTAGGCTTAGCCCTATAGGGGTTCGCTGTGGGCACCGGGACTCTGTCCTTGAAAGACAATGTGTATGCAATGTGGTCGTGGCTGTGAAGGCCGTACCGCATATTTATCCCTGTTCCCCCTATACGGTTGCGATGTCGTGACAACGAGGAAATTATCCTCGTTACCGACACGTGCAACTATCTTATCTGCAATTGACGCAGCTTTGTCGATTGAGGAATCTTCCAGCAGAGCCGTTATCGTCGGTTGGACGTGACGTGGCAACGACTCGAGCCACAGCTCTCTGACAATGTCAGAGTGGGCGTTTGCTGGGTCGGCTAGCGAGCGTAGACGCGCCAGATGCCTGCATGGCGTCGTGTCACCGATCGGGTGACGAGCCGGCAACCGGCGCAACCTCTCTTCGTTAGAGGATGTATAGAACTGAATGATTGCAGCCTTCAGAACTTCTTACGCCTCCTTTTCCGGTGGTTTAAGGATAATATCCCTGATGGCGGACATTCGGTCGCCAGGGATCTCCTCTACTGCGTAAAAGTATTTGGAGCGCTGGCTTCGCACCTTACGGGCGACAAACTGCGTTTCTAAATCCGCAAACCACACTTCGGGGTCATGGGGGATGAAGGCTACTGGCTTAAACCTAATAGCCAGTAGGTCCAGCTCCCTATACTCTACCGGTGGACGTTCCTCTGACATTGTACAAATGCGATAAAGAAATATATCGTGCAACTGCTAATGAACCGTGAGGAAAAAGGGCAAACACAAAGGGAATTGACTTACAGAGTAGACGGTGCGGGCTCACCAATGAAGCTAACCGGAGTTGACGGCCTTCCGGTATGTCTTCTTACGAGTCTCAATATGCGCGCGACCTCCTAGTGTCTCGTTGCCCGAAGCAGACAAAAACACTCGTGGGAATTGTAGACGTTTATTGGCTAATTGTGGTACCAGATAGTACCGAAACGTGCCAGGGTGACGCTAAACAAAGCAAGAAACAAATGCAGTAGCAGAGCGAAAGCGTGTCACACGTGTAGCGTGGGTTTGAACAGGACCCAGCTTATATATACGCCTGAGCGGAAAACCGTGCTCGGTAAAACAAACAGAAGTAAAACAAAGAAAATATCACAGTTCGAGTCAGAGTTGATTGTGAAGAAACTCTGAACGGAAAACATCCTCGTGGATTGCTCCTTTTCTTCGTACCATCATGGTCACTACACACGTGTCCGTAAAATCGAGAACGGCTGGACTGCAACTAGCTGAACTTTGAGAATAGAAAACTTAGTATTCGATTCTAGTGAGCATAAGCGGGCTCTTAAAAGCAGGGCTGCTCCTCCACCCTGTACAGAGCCACTCCTATCTGTTCTGTAGGTAACAAAGTTTTCCTGAACCATACTAGGGTTAGACTCACTCTCTGAGAGCCAGATTTCTGTTTTGCCCACAGCGGTAGCTTTATGGGTTTCTGCTGCCATCAGAATCTCGTCCCACTTGTTTCTGACACTGTAAGTAATTGCGTACAGCAGTGTCATCCTCTTCTGTCGATTTTCTATTTCGAATTTCTCCTCGGGCGATCAACCCGAGGAGAATCCACGTTTTTTGTCGCCTCTACAACAACCTCTTCTCACGGAGTCGCACATCTTACCGAACAATCCTGTCCCCTGGACTCTGATTCCCCTTTCAGGGGTGTGCTAGTTGCACAGGTCATGTCCCCGTGCCGACCTACTGTATCACTTACTGCTGAAGACTTGAAGGAAACTCTGCCATTCTTCTTCTTCTTTTAATACGTCCTCTACTATGCCGACCGTCTTATTGGCCACAGGGTCAGAGGTACGAAGACCCACTACCCGCGTGTTTGCAGGTCAGGTCAGATCAGGTGACACAGGACGATAAGTGCCTTCGCCAACCGAGCGTCCAGATTCTTGCTCCAGCCGGAACTACGTTCCTCCGGAGCTTCGACTTCTTGTCGACAGTTTGACCACAGCAGATTTCTTCGTTCGGAACAGCCTCCCTCATGGGGTCCGTATCTGAAATGGGAGGTTATTCAAGAATAGGCAGCATGAAACAGCTGCTCTCAATTCTGCCAAATTCCAGGATAGAGGCTGATCCGGACCCCATCTAATTGCCTTTTGAACTCCTCGACTGTCCTACAGTCTACTGGTGAAGATGGTAGTTGGTTCCACTCATCTATCACTCTACTTGTGAAGAAGTTGTGTCAAAGATTGAGTCGGCTTCTGGTCTTCATTAGCTTTAGCTGATGCCCCCTTGTTGACTCGAGTGGTGCTCGGGTAAGCAGGCTATCCACCTCTAGCCCAGTCAGCCCCTTCATTATTTTGAAGTTCTCAATAATGTCATCTCTCAGGCCCCCCCTCTCCATGGAGAAAAGCCCCAGGGATTCTAGCCTCTCCCTATATGACTTACCCCTCATCCCCGCGATCATCCTAGTAGCCAACCGTCGAACCCTCTCAATGACAATGATTTCCTTCTTCAAGTAAGGCACCCAAGCGTGCACGCAGTATTCTAACTGCGGTCTAACTATGGCCTTATATAGAGTTAGGAAAACCTCAGCCTTCCTTGAATACAAGGCTGTCCGAAGCTGGAACAATTGCTCCCTCGCTTTTTGTTCGGCGGTCAGGTATTGATCACTGGGCTAAAAGTCCTCGCGGACCGAAATTCCCAGAGCCAGCATTCGGTCTACGCGAGCAAAGACCGTCGGTTCAGTGGTCGTAGCCACGCAAACCGGAAGCCCTTCGGTATTTAGAACGTAACACTTGGTGGCGTTTAGCTCCAAGTCCCACTTCTGTGTCCACTGGACCACCTCAGCCAGATCACCCTCCAGTTGATCTACAGGTCCTGAGTTCACCAGTTTTGCATTGTCGGCAAAGATGAAGGCAGGAACCACTATCTCTTCGATTAAGTCATTTATAAACAGCAGAAAAAGCATCGGGCCTAGAACTTAGCCCAGAGGCACTCCGCTGGATAAGCTACCAACGTTTGACAGAGCCTCTCCCACCCGAACTCTATAGATCCGGTTGGTGATGAAAGCTTTTATCTATCTAACTAAAGCTGTTGGAAGACCAAAACCCCTGAGTTTTACTGGAGGAGTCAGTGATTTACCGAGTTGAAAGCTTTCCTGAAGTCCAGGTAGCACACATTGACTTTCTGACCTCCATCTAATCTCTTTGCAACTTCGTCTAAGAAACAGAGAAGGTTGCTCAGACACGACCTCTTATTGAGAAAGCCGTGCTGGGCAGGGCTAATCAACCTATTTCGAGTAATGTGCTCACAGAGATCATTCTTAACAATGGTTTCTAAGCCCTTACACCGCACGCTGCTCAAACCTATGGTTCCATAGTTACCAGGTTGCATCCTATCTTCATTCTTGTGGATGGCTACCACTGTGGCAGTCGCCCAATCACTAGGTACCCTCCCAGCCCTTGGGGACTTTTGGCAGAGTACGGTTATCGCAGGGGAGAGCACAGGAGCTAGTGGTTTGCTGATGGCTGGATGTAGCCCGTCGCTGCCAGCGGACTTGTTTACATTCAAGCCCTCCATGACATTGAGAACACTACTAACTGAAACTTCCAAAGCACCTATTGTAGGGGTGTCTAAGAACTCTCTTGGGACCGCACACCCATCGTCTATTTTATAGACGATTTCGAAATACCCCCTGAGCGTCTCACATTTTTCGTAATCTGAGACCGACAGCCCACCTCCGGGGTTCTCCAGAGTGCGTACCGATTGTCTTAGTGCAGTCCTTGATTGCACATAGCCATAGTACCTCTTGGGTTCCTGGCGCGCTCTCTTGGTGATTTGAGTAACCTAGGTCATTTTCGCCTGTTTTACTAGCTTGTTTGCATAGTTTCTCGCCTTCTTATATTGGATCCATCGTTCATGTCCTCCTGAGAGAACAAATGCATTCCACCTGTGAGTCCTCTCCCGTATGGCGCGTTTGATGGCCGGCTTCCACCACTGCGGTTTGTGGGTATCCCCCAAGGCTGAAAAGGAGCATGCCTCTCCGTCAGCTCTAATAGCTGGTCGTGGATGATCCCACATCGTTGATCCACGGACGCCTCTGTTTCCTGCAGGAACCATGCTCTGGCTTGAGCATCTCGCTTCAAGTCCGCTACTTTCATTCGCCCAAAATTGCGGCACCACCTGCGGGGTGGCTTTTCCTTCGCAATGCATGTTTCTAGCAGCAGTACATTGTGATCACTTTTACCGAGAGGAATCTCCTGTCCTAGGTCACTGATCTCACTCTCTTGCCGAGTGAGGACCAGATTCAAGGTAGACGGTCTCTGCCCTAGCCGGATACGAGTTGGTTTTCTTACGTGCTGGTAGAGTGATGCTGCATGGAAGCCGTTCATGAATTCATGTTCCACTTGCCCCTCATTCTCCTGCCATTCTATTCCGGGGAGAATAAAATCCCCTTTTAATCGGTGAATGCTTTCCCTTAGTGACTGTGGTAATGAGATTTATTAGCGCTCGATCATCTTCCGGTCTGGAGTTTGGTGATTTGTAGACACCTAATTTGCAAAAGTGTCGGTCTCTGTTTCTTACAATGCAGCCTGTAGCTTGCAATGTTGGGGTATAAAGTATTAGCTCAGGCATTTCCCACTGGATATACTGCCCCCTGCACCATTGGTTCCACCCCAGCCCTTGGGCGCTTGCGCGTTCCCCCCTTGGTTCCGAGCTTCTTTACCGGTTTTGGTCCTGCCGGTACCAACAGTTTCGACCTCCATGGAGTCAAGGAGACCACCGCTGCGTAGTTTGGCTTTCATTGATGTTCCGATTTCTTAGGAGGACACGGTTCCGGAGAGGCCTTTACGGCGGCTACTTTGATGATGGCCTTTCCGGTCGCCTTGCTCTTTACTATCGCGGGTGCATGGCCCTGCTCTGATGTCTACCTTGTACCCTGCATTCGGGTATCAGGTGTGATCTGATACCTCCCCCCAGTAACTCGCTGAATTTTCTCACAGTTACTAAGCAATTGGTCCCGGATAGCGGGGTTTCCGAATTCCACTAGTATGGGCCTAGCTTTTCTCTGCTGCAGGCTGCCTGCAGGGTTGATCCAGTGGCCGACCCTTTTAATAAGTGCATGTGGGAGTAACCCGGCGAGTCACAAGAGGTCCAGGACTTTCTTATGTTCTATATCTGCCCGGGTGTTCGCATTCCGAATTACCGGCTTCTCATTGTTATGAATGAGGATATTCCTGTTTCGGCGCATGACAATGTCGTTCTCTTTCTTGAGAGGCGACAGCTCTCTCTCTCTCCAGTGTGGTAAGTTTCCCTTCTAGATCTTTTACAATTTTTGTCAGATCCAACTGCGAATCCCGTGAGTTATGGATTTTCACCCCGGTGCTGCCTGTCGTTAGATTGGGTTGCCGACCTGCCCCATCTACCAGTGCTAAGCATATGTAGCAGAGCCACTGCAAGGCATCATTTCCCACGTAAGCTTCGTAAGGATTACGTTCTATGCGGACACACACTTTGTGGCACCAGTAACCGCAGCAATCACACTGAATACCGCCAGAGACCATTTTCTGACAATTAAAAGCTCCAAAGCAACCTGATTTGGCCCAGGTGGAAGCTTGTAACGTGTAGTTCTTTTCTCTATGCAAAATGACTTACGCAATCAAATCACTGATTTGAAAATTCAGCACCCGAGGACATACCGAATATCTTCTCTAAGCGGGTTTACGGACTTTTACATAATTTGCAGCGGTTTCAGCCCCTTTCACCCACAGTAGATTGTCATTAGGAGACTAGAATTAACCACGTCAAAATTTCAACCGTGCACTCAAGGCCCTTCAGTGAAGACGGATAGGAGAGGACAAGACAGGTCACCGGACAGATTCAGAGTTCCAATCTCCAGCGCTAAATGCTCGGTACAAATTGCGCTTCCGTTATTTTCCAACAGGAAATTGGACTCTCGATTGTTTCCTCCTCTTATTGTCGGCCTAATTCTACAGTGGAAAGCTCCACTTCGAAATTCGAAGCATGCGTGGTCAAGGTCCAGTTCATTTCAATGCAGTTCACGGGGATTGACGGGCTTGGGAACCGAAGTTTTCGAGGAGCCCGGGTTCTGGTGGTAGGTTTATTGCTCAGTGATGGACGGAGGTCCGCGCAGTAGTTGTCTGTTTCTCGGTTTCTGAATGTGTCTGAAACAAGAGACAAGTGGAAATGCTGGACAGGACAGAACAGGACAGATCACAGGACTTGCG